GGTCTCTGCACGTGATTCTCAAGGCTTGGCTACAATACTCACCAATGTGCAGAATTTGCATGTGCCGAGAAGAGGCCCTTAGGGCCACTGCTTGTATTCATAAGAAATGAAAAAGGAGAAAACAAAGGAAAACGAGAAAACAAAAAAAAAAAACAAGAAAACAAAAGAAAAACGAGAAAACAAAAGAAAAACAAAACAACAAAGAAACAATAACCCATAATTGTAATGCACATACCTCAATTTAAATCCAGACCATATATTCTTGGCTCACGCAGACAAACTGGAAGTCTAATGTCCATCTCTGCTCCACGATGCATCCTTGCTAATTTGCAGGGGCCTTTCGGAAATGAGACTGAACACAATTAGAATATGCACACCCACACCCACACACATGTGCTCACAGTGTTGGGGTATGAGGTGACCCTAACTTTTTTCCCTCTTGCAATTTGATTTTAGGAAGTGAGGGGCATGTTTGACCACCCCACCTTGTCCTTTTTTTTTTTTTTTTATGTGTCGCATTACATGCTTGCACGTGAATGCGCGTGCGCTCTGTGCCGCATGTGTCGCGACCTCGCGCACGGGATGCACCGCAAGTATGATGGAAACTCAAAGTGCAAAGTGGCGAAATACATTGGAGTGGGAAAATGAACAAAGCACGAGCAAGTGATGACAACAACACTAGAATGAACAAGAACTAGAGTTGCGATTTACTCCCATGTTATTACCCTGGCCAATTTCGAGATACACATCCACTGAGAAGTACAATGCCATCCAATTGCAGAAGGAAATGAATGAACTTGAGAGGACAGAGAGGAGTAGAAGAAGAAGAAGAAATGAGAAAGAAGAAGAAGAAGGTGTAAACCAGCAAAGATGATGACAAGGCTCTTCTTCTTCGCCCAACAATCTCCTCCTCCTTATCTCCCCGTTCTCTTATTCATACAAGAAATAATAATACAATGTTGAATGACTGGTCCAGAATCATGTCTGAGTCCCTCTTCTACTGCAGGTATCACTCAAGGTCCACCATAGCCATGGCCGCCCCTCCCACACTTCACTCTCATAGGCCGAGGCTATGGCGGACTACTAGGCCTTGCTCCGATGCCCAAAGGACAACACAAAGCAACTATGGCTGCTCGGACTCAGGCCACCATGCCCAACCCTGCCCTGAAGCTTCTTGGTGTGGCTCTCCCCGGCTGGGGACTCCTTGCTGCAGCGCCCACCAAGGTGATGAAGATGGCTGCCACCATAGTCAGGTAAGTACCCCTGGCGCTCCTCCCCCTTCCTCCTTCCTTCTTCCTTCTTCCTCCCTCTTGTCCTCCTTCTTCCTCCCCAGCAGCGCAGCTCCAGCCCAGCGCTGCTCCCTCCAGCGCTTCACCAGTGTGTCGCCAAACTTGCACACCGAAAAAGAGGCCGGGCCTTCCGCCCGGCCGGAAGATATAGTAGCCTGCTTTGCCTCTTGGGCGGTGACTTCCAGGCCGCTGGCCTTCCCAAGCAACCGGTACCTCTTCCTCCTTTGGACGGAACATCATTGCAGACTCTGATATTGCCCCTACAGGCCCTAGACTCAGAGTGGTACCCGCTAGACCTAGCCTACACTACCGGCCTCTTAAAATGCCACTTTTGTCTTCTTCTGCTCGGCCTCCGGTACCTGCATATTTACCCCCCTGCCGGGTGCGGTACCGGCCTACCCGCTACTTGAGTGCTTTTCCCCTGCTGCAACCCTTCGAAGCCACGGCCACAAGTAAGTACGGACCCTGAGGGCCCAACGGACGAACAAGTGCCCTGGCGGGCTACACACACACACACTCATACCAACCAGCACTCAGACAGGCACGGTCACACACGCAAGCCAACCAGCACTCGGACAGACATGCAGTCCAGCAAGCACACATACACACAGACTTAGCAGGCGGGGAACTCGGTAGGGCATTCAGTCTATTATGAGCAAAACTCATAAATCAACTGTGTGTTTCAGTCCGTGTTTGGATGGGTTATCACACTACCCCCCCCTCAAGAGCGAGGTCCCTTCGAGCGAGTAACTCATTCTGAGTCCTCGGCAAACGCATCATAGGCGAGCAAGGCAAAGAGATTCCTGGAATACTCTGTTGCAGAGAGCCTTGCTGAGATCTTCGGTGTGGCGTTAGCGGCGATCTGTCGTTCGTAAGCTTTAACAACGCGCGGTGCGCTGCGTAGCAGTTCCTGTTTGGAGATCCAGTAGAGATCATCTAACGGGTGAGACATGAAATGAACCTGGTACTGTCTGTTTCTCCCTTTACCTACATGCTGTTTGATTCTATATATCCATGCCCGCCCTTGATTGCGCGAGGGATCATATCTTCGCGGTAATCGAATGTCTCGGCATCACGATGGAGATTCAGTTTAGATGCATGAAACACGGGATATGTGCGCAGGTGAGCTGGCACGTCAACAACGTACGAAGGACCAAAGTGATCTTCCCCAATTACATCCAGAACCTCCCAAGGCCCGTAGTAGAGTGGGAGGAGTTTGCGTGAGACTCCCTCCTCCTCTGAGAATTCAGACATCTTCACCCAGACATAGCTTCCTACCTGAATCTCCGATGGTTTGCGCTTTTTGTTCGCATGGTGGATCATGGCATGCAGTCGCTTGGTCATAGCTGCAACAACAACTTTGAGCAAGCGATCGTACTTAGCCCTGAAGTCGGGCCTGCCGGGTGTTAAACCAGCTGGCTGCTCCGGGAATAAGTAGGAGAGCGGATTACGTATCTGCCACCCGTAGTGCAGCCTGTTAGGTGTCGTGGCGGTGGCAGAATGGACGGAGTTGTTATACAACCCCTTGACAGAATACAGCTCCTCGTCCCATGTTTCCTGATCCGGAATAATCAATGCACGGAGAAGTTGGAATACAGTCTGGTTGATCTCCTCAGCCAAACCGTTGGCTTCGGGGTGTCGGCCAGATGTCATGCACAGTTTGATTCCTAGGTGGGACGTGAAGTCCTTCCATTCAGTGCTAATGAAACGCGGATCCCGATCGCTCACAAGAGTCTTCGGGGTTCCGAATTGCAGCAGGTATTTCTGCTGGAATTTGCGAATCACTAAATCTGTTAGGGCGTGAGGCGGTAAAGGAATCAGATTAAGAAACTTTGAAAATCGGTCAACAATCACCATGACTTGTGAAAACCCGTTCTTGCTTACCTTACCTATGTCAGTGAAATCAATGGAGACAGACTCCCCGGGACCATCAGGAATGGGTAGGGGTGTGAGTAGCTCCATGGGCTTTTGTCTGCATGGTTTGATTCGTTGACATACTTGACATTCAACTTTAAATTTCTCAGCAGTCCCTTTCATGCCAGGCCAATCAAACTGTCTCAGCAAATTAGCGTACGTTTTTGCCATGCCGAAGTGCCCGCTCCGACCATGAGCCAAGTCCAGAAAGTGTGTGCGGAGAGGCTCATGGTTGGGTACACACAAATGGTCATGGTTCCCGTATCGGCGAAAAATCAGTCCTCCATACTCGTGGAAATCAGGCTAACTACTAGGATCAGCTCGCAGCTGCTCAAGGATGGAACTAAGTTCCGGATCCTTGGCTGTCTGCTCTACGAGCTCCTCCTTCAGTTTCTTCCGGAGGTCGTAGGATTTCACAAGGCAAGTCATGTACTCAGGGTGGCGAGACAATGCATCAGCGACTCGATTGTAACAACCCTTTTTGTGTCTAAGTTCAAAGTCGAAGATGTCAATCTCATGGAACCAGCGAAGTAAGGTAGGGGACAAAGTAGTTTGCTGTTTGATCCACTTCAAAGGGGGAGCTAGAAGAAGAAATGATCAATGAACAGTTTCAGTGTTCTCGTCACTGTGATGCTGTATTGGGATGAAGCTTGCTTTGCGGATGACCTTCGTTCATGTGATCTTCGAGTTACTCAGCGATATACCTTTACATTTTGGCTCATGGGCAATGTTCTTTCATGGGGACAGATTATAGCAAACGAGTGCGTGCGTGCTCTCTCTCTCTCTCTCTCTCTCTCTCTCTCTCTCTCTCTCTCTCTCTCTCTCTCTCTCTCTCTCTCTCTCTCTCTCTCTCTCTTTCTCTCTCTCTAGAGAGAGAGAGAGAGTGAATGAGAATCTGATGTTGTATTCGGGGGAAGCTCGCTTTGTTGATGACCTTCGTCAATGTGATCTTTGAGCCGCTCAGCAATAAAGCTTTATTTATCGCCTTGACAACTTCGTTCTTGAGTGGAAGGAAACTTCAGTGCCAGGTGGCTCGTGTACCATTTTAGGTGTGCACCTATGAGTCTATCTCATGCTTTTGTACGAGTGTCTTTGATAAAGCAGCTGACTGGATCTTCCCTGTTGTTTGTTATTCGTGTGGGATCTCGAATGCTCCTTCCCATCAACCGGCTAGCGTATTCACTGGGCAGCTGACCAGATGTGAACAAACCTGTAGCAATTGGTCGGAGTTCCGAACTGCGGGGACAACAGTTACTCACTGTATGCTTTCGTGTGGGCGTTCTCCATCAACCCTCAAGGCTATTCCTGCTATGTGCACCCTCACAGTGGTTCCTGAAAAAAGCCAAAAGAAAGAACTACACCGAAAACTGGAAAGAAAATAGTTTCAGTGTGCTTCATGCTGTTTACTCCTTTCTTCATTTGTTCCGCAAAGTGTGCTCTTCTTCTTGTCAATTGATAGATATGTGACAGTATATTGCATACATGAAAGAGGCTTTGCAGATAACTAAGTGTAGGACTATGTTGCAGAGTCCGACTTAATGAGATACATTGCGCAGTTGCCAATTCTTATATCCACGTCTGAAAATTACCTTACCTTGTTAGTGGGCCCCCACCGCCCCCCAACTCTCTCTCTCTCTCTCAACCCCCCTGTTTCCCCCTCACACCCGCATCCCAATGTGTGGGTGTATGTTTGTGTTTGCAAGTGCATGCTCACACAAGTGTTCTGGGGCAATTGTTTGCTAGACTTCATAAATCTATAATGTTACACTTATATGGAACTCTGGTCTGGTGCATCAGGTTGGACATCTACGTCCCCAATGAATCGGCAAACGGCGACCTGCTGCCAACTGTTGTCTTTGTGCATGGAGGAGTGTGGGCAAGTGGTGAAAAATGGCAGTATTCACCCATAGGAGTCCGCTTGGCAAAAGAAGGCACTGTGGCAGTGCTTGTTCAGTATACACTCTTTCCAGAGGTATGCGAGGATCTGAAAAATGATGAGCATCGCTTCAAGTTGGGTATAGTGCCAGTGTGGGGCTTCTAGGAGGGAAGGGATATATTGCTGGATGTGGGAGGAAGGTTTTCTTGACAATATGTGCATGCATATCTCCTTGTTGTGCCATTGTTTTGGAAATTGATAATTGGCCCACAGTTTCTCAAAAAGAACTCGGTGAGTTTACATCACTACGGCTTGGGTTTCAGACCCCTAAGAAGAGCTCATGTCTTTCCCCATTCAGGAACCTAAACATTGGAGCAAACCACATCCCAGAGGAAGCAGGCAGAATATAGAGAGGGCAGGAAACTGGACAAATAAACCAAGCACTGCCAGTGGGTCTGTAACCCCCCCCTTGAAATCTCACACCCCTGCAATGAATTGCAATTGCTCACGCGGGCTGTACACTAAGTTTGTCTGTTGTTTCTCTATTCTGAGCACTTCGGGACTTGATCCCGTGACCTACAGTTCATATGTGTTGCTTACTAGCTTTGAGTCCTACTGGGCTTGATCCGTGAACCTGTCGCTGGTAGTCTCTATTTGGCAGTCTTAGACCCTTCAGGTCTTGCTGTTTTGTCCTTTTCTGCTCTTTTGGAAACTGGTAGGCCCATAGGTCTCGCGTTTGTGTGTCCTAGTCTCGGGTCCCTGTAGTCTAGATTTCCATCCAGATGGATGTAGGCAGATCTTGACTGTTTGGCCGTAGATGTTTGCTGTTTCGACGGTCAGATAGGTTCGTAGGTGACTGCTGTGTTGTAGGTCTAGGGAAGTAGGGTAGAAGTAGGGAGAGGCCGACAAATTCGGGCCTCTTTTCTCATTTTTTTTTGGAGTGGCGACGAGAGTTACAGAGCTGGGCTATTTCCAGCGCTCGTTCGTCTCCCTTTTCGAAGGGGAACTTGGGCAGCCATAGCTGGGGTGCCCTGCTGCTCGAGGAGGCAGCGCCTCTAAGAGGTCTCCCAGGTGCTGATTCTACTACCATCATGCTGCTGTTTGTGGGGTGGAAGAACAACCGCTTTCTTCCTTGAGCGGGTTGCTTGTTGCTAGTTGCTGTCATACCAGGGCAGCCATCATCTTCTTCATTGAGGCTCACCTTCTTCTTCACGGTGGTTTGCTGCGCTGCGACTTGGTATCTGGCTCATGCCAGATCAGCGCCTGTACTTACAGGGTCGGGGCATGATGAGATGCTGTTTTCAACAGTGGGCTATCATTGGAGGCTGGGGGTCCTAGGGAGAAGAGGAAGTTTCAGTGAACTTCATTGAAGTGCGAGGCCAGTGCCTCTATGAGCCCCATAAGGCCCCATTTTGCAGCCCGTCGGCCGCCCTAAGTGAAGGCAGGCTCGACGAGGCCCTCAGGGCCCTTTTCTGGCCACCACGCAACTCAGGGAAATTCAGGCAGTTGCGCAGCGCCAGTTGGTTGAGTGAACCCAAGTCCTGGGCCGCCTGTGTGAATGTATGTGAGGCAGGCCCTGGGCTGGATACGGGTACCGGGCCAAATACAGGCCGAAGGCAGCTGGGCACATGCAACCACTCCAGGCCCAAGGCCTGCTCTCGTCGTGCTGGGCCTCAGGCTACCGGGGCCTACTGGAAGCTTCCTGGGACTGGACGCAGGCAGGCCACTTCGATATAGGGAAGGGCCTGCCTCCCCATTCGGCATTTGGGTGCTGGCTGCATGCTGCGCAAGCGCTGCTTCACTATTTTCTGGCTGGCGCCTACGCTCTCACGGGCGAGCAGGGAAGGAGCACGCAGCCATAGCCGAGCTGCGCTGCTGTAAGCTGGGTGAAGCGCAGGGTGGTCCTTGGGTGCTAGTGGCATCTGTGAGTTGGGGACGAGGTTGTGAGTGAAGCGCGAGACATACCTGGTGCTGGAAGCGAGCGACATTGGTCGCCGTATGCTCGTACTTCGGGAATGCTGTTGATGTCATCTTTCGGCTTCGTAGTATAGGCTAGATAGGATCTGCCACATGTAGTCTGGGCACCGAGCGCCAGATAGGATATCAACTCTGGTTCTTCGTTGATGATGATGGGACTATTTCAGCATTGTCAATTATGAACTCTTGGTGTGTTCTTATTTGGTGAATCTCGTGATGCAATTCTGCTGTTGGTTTGAGGTCAAGACTATCTGGACTCATATGTATGATGCTGTTTGATTGCTGAAGTTCGCTATTGCTCATCTTCCTTGCAATTTGGTATCGGAGTTGTGGTACGATTGCGCTCATCTGGCGCTTGTCTTCTGCCTTATGCGGTACATACATGCGGTCTGCTGGGCGGGTTTGGCCGTAAGTGGTGTGTAGTGAGGAGGGTGGAGACGAGTGTGTAGGCGACCCAGGAGGTGAGGGGATCGCCAGGAAGGCTATATGAGGTGAATGTGGTCTGGACAGTGTGATGAGAACTATCTAATGTGCGATTGATGCTGAGGTGGAACGGCGGGTAATGCTGGTTGTGCCGATGCAGTGACTGGTCATCGCAATCGCCATTTGGTCATCTGGTGAGATTATCTTTGTGGTTGGGGGCAGCTAAATGAGGTACATTGCTCTTAACCTTATCTACCCTCTTCGACACTTCTTACCGTGAGGTTGTGTGGTCCTTCTTGAGAGTCCTCTCATCGTGAGGTGTCGAGTGCGCTCAACCTTGAGAGCCGGCAATGTTCACGTGGAGCATCTGGGTGGAGATGGGCGGAGCTTTGTGAAGGGCCCTGGACGAAGCACTGGGTCACGGTCACCATGCCAACCCACCGGGAGTAGAGCACGCATGCCTAGCAGCTTGTCCTTTGTTCGGCTTGCTGCGCTGTTAGATGGGTACTACTGGGCAGGCCAGCCCTACAGGAAAGACGAGCACCCGGCGTCTATAAATAAACATGGGAAGGGGAACCATTGGCTGTGATCGTCGTCCGACTGCGACGTAAAATAATTCCTGGAGTCACTTGGGGGCGGACGTTAAATTGCCCCTGGATCAGCCAATGGTTGGAAGGCTCGCGGCACGCCGAGGATAAACATACGTGCAAGGCTGGCCAGCTCAGTGGATACTCGGGGCACAGGGGTGGGCCGGACACACACACCTTTAGACACACTACGCCTCCAGATTGCTCAGGGACGCTTACGTCAAGAGATACTCGGGGGAACTAAGGGAGGGGTTGATTCCAGGTGATAAGTTCGAGAAAATGCCATGCTGTCCTATCCACACAAGTGATTCTATTTTTATGTTTTGATTAATTAGATGGACTGCCATTGACATCTGACAGACAACATTAGTTAGAATTGGTTATTGTTCCTGGTGCTTCTGTTTGCGGACTAGTCAGACTAAAAATAGTTTCAATTGTAGGAATCTAACTTACCTGTTGACCTCAAGTGATATCTGTTCCGAAATAGCCACCAACTAATTAGTTGGTCTGTACACTATGTTGCGGTAGGCATCTTGAATGATCTAGTGAAGACAATGCACAATGTTGTAGCCTATGAACGACAAGGAGGACACCGGAGAGGACGACCGCAGGACCTTGCGATCAGATAGAGGCCCGAGAGCTCACGTGTCTCTAGGACCGAAGGGTGATAGGATTTTGTTCCGCCGGCTTAGGGAGAGGCAGCAGCAGCAAAGGAGGGCTAGAGAAGTCGAGGCCAGCAGAACTTTAGCTAGCGAGGCCGGTGCTACAGCAGCCATGGCCACTACAGCCATGGTCACTTCTGCGCACCAGACTTCCCAAGCCAGTAGTTCAGGTGCCGTCGGGTCAACGGTCGCGCAAACCGTGAGTCAGTCCACTGGCATTATGGCAAGCCAGGCCGCGGTGTTGACTCCAGAGGATGTCGCCATCCAGCAGGCAGCCCTGCAGGAGGCACAACTACAGCGGGCATTAGGAGAGATAAAAGCGAAAAAGGAAAAGATGATTAGAAGAAGAGCCAAGATGCAACGGAGAGGGGAAGATATAGAGGAGTTAGAGACGATGGACCTGAACAATATGGATGATGATGTGAGGGTAGTTAGGAGGGCCCTGCTAGGCGTAATAGAGATGCAGGAGCATCAAACTACCATCCTTCAGGACATTCAACAAAGCCTAGCCGTTTTGGCAGGCCGTGCTCGGGTAGCACCATCACCAGCCGGGCCTGGTGCCGGGCCCATTGTCGGAGGGCACGGTGTCCCGACCCTCCTCTGCGTATCAAGTCCCTTCTCGGAATCAGTCTCTTACAGACGTCGCGCCCAGTAGGCAAGTTTCCGAACCTCTACGATCTCTAGTACCCGGGTTGTACCTTGGCGTGGACCGGTCCGGTTGGTGCCTTGCCTCAGCAAAAAGAGAGGGTGCACCACAGGGCTTTCCTTTGGTCCACGCAGGCTCGGCGCCCTGTTGTACAGCAGAGCACTACTGGCCTGTAGCCGTGGTAGCCGCCGAGTTCACCCTGGGACGCGAAGGTGAAAAGACCGGCGCTGTCATTTCTACTGCGCGCCGATCGCGCCCTAGTCGGGTTATGGGTTAGGTGTGTAGGTTCGTTGTTACCGTTGAATAAAAAAGGGGGCAAAAGAAGAAGAAAGAAAAAGAAAAGCAGGGATAAGAAGAGAAAGGGTAAGTCAAGTGTCAGATCCGTGCGTAGATCTGGACCCTCGTTTTAGTTTGGGGTGATCTAGTGATCTCTGACCGCTGCGGTGTTATGATTTCCCTTCTTTTCCTATTCTGTTTTTTTTTATTTATTATCATTACTATCATTATTAATTTCTCTCAGTTTCCTTCAGTCTATCACTTCGCGGGAAGGCCAACGGTTCGAATTTCGAAGTGCGGCTACAGTCTGTGGCCTAGACGGATTTGTCCTGTCTTTCTTGTACCGACGGTTGGGAGGCTCGATCGGGCGACGCGCGGTAGGACCCCAAAAGAGGGGCGACCCACGGCCGCATCGGTAGGAAGTCTATCACCCCTGAAGAGGGTCATAAGCCCCCTCCTTACCATCGGATACGGGCACCCGATAGGGGTAGGCCGACGGTTTGTTTTGAAGTGAAAGGTGCGCTG